GTACGGCCTGGTGCAAAAGTCACTGTGGGATCCATGCGGTAGTGACCAGGTGAGCCGGGAGAACCAGGCAGGAATTGAAGAATGCGGAGCCCTCGCTGGGCTTCATGGGTTGTGTTAATCAAATGGCGAAGTGTGTTGCGAAGCTGGAGGTAGAGTCTGTATGCTGGTGCGTTAGTGAAGAATGACATCGGGGGGATGGGGTCGTGGACAATGGGGTGATGCTGGAGATCGTCCACCAGTGTTGTGATGGTGTGGAGCAGCCAGTGGAGTTCTGGTTGATGTGTGGCTGGGGGCATTGGGTTAGTGGGTAAGAAATGTCCGTGGTGGGTGGTGGGTGGATCGGTGTATATGGTGGCTGTTGGCGGTGGATGTGAGGTTGGAGTCGGAGCATCAGCGCCCAGCAGCATGTCGGCAATATGGCGCTCAGTCATGAGAGATAGAGAGGAGGGGAACGGTACAGTGAGATGGCTGCGGGCGTAAAAGTAAGCTGCTGCTTTGTAACTAAAGACAGGAAACACAAGAAAGGAAAGGAAAAAAGAAGAGAAAGGAAAAGGAAACGAAATGCCGATGCTGACGTTTTGTCACTGGGGCTCACCGTGGATTGTCGGTGAGACAAAACATATGGATCAGCAATCGCGGCCTGAAAGGTGTTCTCAAGTGGAGGAGTGAGCATGGCGGGCGGCCGCAAGTCCTCAGCGCAAGGCTGCTGTCAGGCGTGTTGCTGTGGTGAGGTTGGGGAGTTAGTCTGCATGGGCGTCGCGTGAGCGTGAGCGCTCTCTGGCACGGTGGTCGTTGGTCTGGCCGGGGTCATTGTTGGCACGTGGTGGAGGGCCAGTCCAGTAATGGAGAAAGCGCTGTGCGTCTTCAGGGGGTGTGCGTGGTGGTGAAGAAGGTGAGTGGTCTGAAGGCGCTCGTGGCAAAGGGAAGCCGGGTGGTGTGTTGTGGAGTGCGGCAAGGTTGCTGGAGGTAAGTCGTGCTGAGGGGTCCATACGATATTGTCCTGGGAGTCCAGGCTCTCCCGGGACAAATTGGAGCAAACGTCGAGCTTGGTAGATGCTGTCGGTCCATTAGCATCATGTCCCGTCGTAGTTGGTAAAGTATGTTGTATGCTCTGTAATCTTGGAAGTATGTTTGGTCCGGCATGGGTTCTGTGTGAAGTGGGTGGCGGCGGATGTGTTGGATAATCAGGAAAAGGATGTCCAGTGAGCAGTTGAGTGAGTGGAAGTCTGGCTGAGTGCTAATGGAGGGGCGGAGCCAACTGGGAGGTCGTCCTGGTAAGTAGTAGTCATTGCCTGTATTGTTGGCTGGAGTGCGATCACGAGAGGAGGCCATGAAGGGTGGTAGGAGGGCTCAAGTGCGGAGCGTCACGTAAATGCTGCGGGACTGGAGTGAGCCGTTCGAAAAACACAAAATGTGAATCACAAAGATGTTCCTCAGGACAGCATGACCAAAATCATGAGAACGGTAAACATTAGCTCAATTGGGCATGCAGTAAGAGTTGCAAACCGGAGGCTCACATGTGAGAAATCCAAACTTCGGAAAGAACTGCTGGTGAATTTATTCTGTGGCACGCCGGAGAGAGGGGGTGAAACCGATCAAATGAAATAACTGCCTATTGGCGTGTCAGCATGTGGTTCCGGATGCCTGTTCTCACTGGGCGCTCGCTCAGCAGCCGGCTGCAGTGGTAAAGCTTCATGTGGCGACACTTCATGTGTGGATCGAGGGGTAGTCGTTGGAGAGGGTGAAAAGTCTGCCTGTGATGGTGGTGGTGGTGTGTTGGCCGGTGATGTAGGAGTAGGTGAGATGTGGTTCGGAGAGGAGAGAAGAGGTGGTGGTGGTGGTGTCATCTGCGCGGGGTCGGCAGCTGGTGAAGTGGATTCAGGAGGTTTGTTGTCCTGTAGCTTCTGTAGGTCTTGGAGCTCTTTCCATCGAGCTTGGCACTGCTCGACGGAATATCCGACCCGTCGGGCGACAAAGATCCAATTGGGTCGAAGCTTGGGGTTGCTTTTGAGCTCTACGAGGCGACAATCAGCGTCACCATCCCAGGTATCCCAGTCTGCCTGTGGGTTGAGCGGCGGTGGTGGTGGTTGCTTGCGCTTGCGAGCTTGTGGGGGCTTTGGTGTACCTGCAGAGCCTAAACGCTTGAAACTCACATAGTTCTTTGTCATAAGCCCCAAAGGCGTCATTTTGAAGCAGTTGCTGTCGTGTACCGACAGAGACACAAAAAGCCATGGGGAGCTCCAATACCAAACGTATAGCGTATATTCACGAAAACTGTTGGGAACCTGTTTGTTTTGATTTTTTGGTTTAAGGCCTGCTGATCAGCAGGACGCTGGTCGATTGGGGTTCCTCGAGTGCATGCTCACGCCGCACCGACGCTCGTCAGTTCATGCTCGAGCATATGACAGTATGTTTGGGAGGTTTTAAGGATCATGCACCCCAGGTTTTGCACAAACATGTTTCCACAACCATAGTGGTTCACACACACACGTTTTACACAAAGCTTGTTTGAACACACAAACACACACACCCTTCGAGCCTGAACCTCGAACCTTCGGGTCCCGGCGACGGGGCGGTCCGACGTGTCGGGCTGTGCTGTGGGTCTGGCCCTCAGCCCGGTCTGTTTTCAACCACAAAGCTCAAGTAAAGAGCGGTATCGAGCTAGTGAAACGAAATCCAACGTTCGTGGATGGCATTTGCTGCATATCTGTGCTACGTGTTTCATGAAGTCTTCTTCCATGTACAAATGCTCGTACCTGGGGTTGCGCTTAGTGGTTTTCACGTACAGACATGCGTGCAGTACACAATGAAATTTTGGCGCTAACTTGTACATTCTGAGTTCTGGCCACCGTCGCCGTGCACCCTTTGCCAAAACTTGGTACAGGATCAAGAATGTACGCCCATAGTAGCACATGTCAAGCAGCACATTCATCAGATAGCCAGGGACCGTTTGAGTCCTGGAGGAACTGGACCATTGCCAGGGCATGTGCGCAACAAGCTCGCAATCTTGAAGTCTCGGTGGTGTTTTCCTCCATGAGTCTGTTCAAACAACTGGCCACCCAGTACAACATGAATTTTACCATCGCACCCTTGTAGACGCTGCTGAGCTCAGCATAGGACTGCCAACTGTCCCGGCCATAACGCAAGCCACTAAACCGAGAGCTTGTAACACTCACCACTTGCCTTCGAGACCCTGCCCAAGTTTTGTAATCTTGCCACACTTCGTGGGAGAGAACCTCGCTTAAGCGATCCAGGGTTACACCAGTCTCCTCAAAGTGGTGAGTGATCAGCGCCGCAATCGCTATTGGACCGGCACCTTGATGAACCATGTGTAACATATCCTGAGAGAGATGACTGGCCCAAACATTGCACCAAACCACCCTAGCAAATGGCTGACAAAACCGAAGCCCAAAGATCTATTAACAAGACCAAAGTACCTACAAAGATTCATGTCCACCAAGGTTCATCAAGGTTGCGGTCCTTCTGCCAACCCCTCACGGATTGCCACGCACTCTGCTTGGCAAACTGGATTCAGTGCCAGGAAGTCTGCATGAGACAAGATGCATTCAAAGTATGCTGCATGGTCGGTGAAATCCGTGTACTGGAATCCATTATTGATCTTCGAAGCTAGACAGTGCTCACATGCAGATGCTATCCGCTGCCCAGTTACAGACAAGTTTGTGACAAATGACTCTCGCTTCGAGGTCACCCTTCCATGCAGCAAAGGCGAATCTCCACCCATTGCAAAATGGGCGGTTGGCACGCTGGGCCTCCAAGGAATCCGGTAAGAAGTCGCTCCCGTCAAACGCTTTGGCCGGGTAGTTGCCAGTCATCAAGACGTCCATGCAATACCCAATAACTCTGGCAACAGAGTCATGACTTCGGTCTTTGATGATCATGGTGTCCCTCAAAACGAGGAATAGGAGCTTAGTGTCCACACTAGGACCTTTCCGGGTGCAGGATGAAAACGAGTACACCCACACTTTGTGCGTTTTGAAAACTTTGACACCGTCAACATGCCATGCAACTGGTACTGTCCAGCTAGGATTTTCCAACTGAAGTTCACGATAGAATGGCAGGTGCGACAAACGGTTCCAAAATTCGGTGACGCTCTCATTGGCACGGGACGGGTCATCATGCACCCACGACAGAAATGTGTTGTTTTCCGACATCCAACCAAGAATGTCCCACGGCCAGATCACCCCGTTCTCGTGCTGTGGGTCGCTAAGATCTAACTTCACGCGATCAGGTTGGAGTGTGCAATTGTCCCGGCACCACCTTGCAACGCGCAGGGAAGTGAACAGTGTTTGTTTTGTCCAACTATCACAGGTATATTTAATTGCTCTATATAACACAGTAAAGGCTCGTTTGATCTTTGAAGATGGTATAACATAAAGGCTTGTTCGAAAATCCCTGACGCTCGATCGTAAATGCAACTTTTTACAAGACACTTTTGACTTTGCAATGAACCTTTGAAACTCACGTTCACAGTGTCCAGAAGAGTTCCACGATGCTATGAGGGCACTCAGGGGGCAGCCAAAACCATCAGCTTCCAACTGCTCAGCTTCTTGACATCCAGCAGTCACAGAGGTGGCCTTGGGCAAAACTTCTTTGGTTATACCGCTGATTGGAAGACTGTTGGTCGGCTACAAGCTATAGATGCACAAATAAGGGCCTGACCCCTGAACACATCCTTTTGAAGAGTATCGAGGCAGAACCACTTGCTGCTTCGAGAATTCGTTTTCCTGGAAAGCTGTTGATCCCCAAGACATGTCAAGAACTCGATCAAGAACCGTCCACGCGTATTCGAAAGATATGTTTCAAGTACGATATGTTTATGACTATATATATATAAGATATATATATATATACCTCGGTCCTTTTGGAGGAGGTGCATGTTCTAGTCTTCGATGGCCTGAAGAAGTCACCAAGATTCACAAAGTCATGAGGCCATGGATTGTGGATGATCGTCTACGAAGACAAGCTTGCCTTCATCTCGAGTGCGGGACCTTGAGCGAGTTCGGGATGCTTCGGAACGGTACCTGGAGAACCCCATGCTCAACCGACGAAAAAAACAAAATGAAGATCCATGGCGATCCAAGCAAAAGAACTGCAAGTTCGCGAGTTCGATCAAACATGAGAAACGCTTTTCCCTGGCGATCGGAATCCAATCCTGGCACAATCCCTGCGGGTACCCCGGCAAGTGAGTGGAGCATGGATGGAATCCTGGATCGTGAGCATACTTGATTCTTTTTTCTAAGTTAGGAGACCTTTACCCGCCACACTTGCAACCCCGTACATCTAAGCAAGGTTCGGAGCAGGATATGCATGGGCCGCATTGGGCCTTTCATGATTGACACCAAGAAAACTAACCTTTCTTCTCCTTAGGGTCCTTAGGCTCCTTAGGAGCTGCCTTGGGCTTTGCAGATGCCTTCGGCTGTCCAGCTTTTTCGCTGGCCCGAACCAGCGCCTTCCCCAAGTCGATTCGCTCACGGCAGATTTTGGTGTGCTTGTCCACCTTCGGGCAATGACCAGTGAAACACATATCATATGGCATTTAGCAAACTCATACATTGGGCTTGAAAGTGTCACTAAACACGAAAGCCTCTAAGATGATCTCACGGTAGTGCTTGTTTTTGTTGTTCTTCTTTTTCACAAGCTCCTGGAGCCTCCCCGCCAAGCCCTCCAGCTTGGTTGCGACTGCCATCAGCTGCGCGATCAGGTCTGTTCCAAGCTTGATAGGCTGCAACCTGAAGGCTTGGGTCCTCAGAAGGGGAACAGCGCAGATGTTTTTCATGGGGATCAGGGGAATTAACATGGCAATGTTTTCATAGACGCTGTATGAATAAGCTTTGAATAAAGTCAATCCTGCAGTCGTTCACATCCTTCAGAACTCGGGCGAGCAGCGCTTGGGCTTTGGCAAGCGGGGTTTCCTCAACCACCTCAGGGCCCAAACGCACAAAGGGCATAAAGGTCGTGCCAGCTTTTAAACTTTAGACCAAATAGAAAGCCATGGCTGTAGGAACTATATAGAGCATGTTGGAACCGGCCTCTTTCACCTGTTCTTCTTCTTTATTCTCACCATCTTGTTTTTTGTTTTTCTTGTTTTTTCCTGTTTTTCTTGTTCTTTGGGTCTGCGCCCTGAAGCGAGCTCATTGTCTCCAAGAGTTTGTTTGCTCCTATGCTGCCAGCAAAGTCCGCAATCTTGAGGCCAGCGTTTGGGTCCAGCACTCCGCCAGCCTAGCAAAAGTTGCGAGCAAACAGAAACTGTCAGAAATGTCACTTGTGGGAATCAAGAGCGAACTTACAATTACAAGGAATTAAAAGGCAGCAATACCTAGCCTTTGTGAACTCCTCCAACCCAGCTTGATCAATGCAGCCTTCAAGCTCCATTCTTGTCAAGCGGGAGACTTCGTTGATGTTTGCCACATCCAAGCAAACAAGTGTGAAGTAGAGGAGCTCGTCCTTGTCGTCGGGCAACTCTGGGTCGGCACAGGTCAAGCCAAGTTCCTTCTTTCTGTTCATCAACTTCCTCCCCTTCTTCTCACCATGCCGATCCAACATCCATTTTTCTCCTCTGAAGCCCCACTTGATCTCTGAACGGGTTTGCTCAAGAAGGGACTGCTCGTGGCGAAGGAGGATCTGGTCAACATCCCCTGAGCATTTGACGTACTCAGAGACAGACAATTGCCTCGCCTCTGGCGGGGGTGGTTTAACCTTGGTAGGAGGAGACCTTGAGCGAACCGGGCGTGCTTTCGAGGGCGGTTTCGCCGGTGGCGGAGACGCCGACGAGGACTCGATCGATACCACCGGAGGTGGCGTGCTGTGGGACCTCGACGCTTTGACAACAGGCGGCTGAGACACCGGGGGCGCAATTGGCGTAGCACTTGCCTGTGCTGCCTCCCGCGCCTGGGGCGGCGGCTGAGGCGGACCGGATGGCACGAACACCGTCTCAGTGGCGGTTGACAACTGGGGTTCATGTAATGGGACCCTAGGACCTGCAGCTACTGATGCACCCTTAGGCTTATTCTTAGGGACTATAATTACTTGTCGAACATGTGGGGGCGTTACAGGGGGCGCCCCTTTTAGTGCGTCGGCGGTTACAATTACTCGAACTCGCTTAGATGCTGGCTCGGTCAACTTCGGCTTTGGGTGACTTGACTGACTGGTCTTAGGACGATGGCCCTCCAACCATGTGAGCCAACCGGCATCTTCAGTCCTACCTTCAAGGTTACGGATGCGACGTGAACGAGCCTCAGGGTCAGAGTTATCTGAGTCTTCGGCATCGAGTTCATATAGGAACATGAATGGTGGACGAAGAGGGCAGTAGGTGGTCGCCCTCGGCCTGCGGGGTGCTCGACCAGTCCAAGTCGTAGACCCGGTCTTGAGCGTCTTCAAGTGGCACTGATGGTTCGTGTTCGCGGTCCCATTGAGTCCTACGAAGGCGAAACGGTGTTAAGCGCCGATGGATGAAGGCGCCCGGACCCGGGGTCATCACGACCGGACGGACTGGCTCCGCGCCTAAGGCAGCGGCTTTTGCACTCGTTGTTGGCTGGTCTTGTTCAGACTCGGGTGCCTCAGGCAAGGCGGCCCCTTGGCCCTCTTCCTCCTCCTCCTCAACCACGACGTCCTCTTCCTCCTCTGCTGTGTTCTCTGACCTCACGTGTGACAACGCTTGCCCGAGCTCGCCACGAAGCGATGCTCCACCCAACGCACTGGACGCGTGGGCCTTGGCATGCACGACCTTGTTATTTAGTGCTTCGAGGTTGGCGTCTTGCTGCTGCAAGGCGCTCATGTCAAGCTGGTCAGCATCGAGAGGGACAGGGGGAACTGCTTTGACAGGTCGGAGAACCGGAATCTGCTCGGGATTGCTGCGGCCACGGTAGCTATATTCATTAGGACCCGGAGCGTCAAGTGGTTCTGTGTCCCCATACGGGATGGACGGAGGTGGCTCGAGTGGGACGATAGACGGATGCCCCCCCTGATGGTCATCTGCTGTCGGAGGACTCGGCGCAGGACCCTTTGGTGGAGGTGGAAGTCGAATGGGCAATGATGGCTTGGGAACCTCGACGAACGTAGCCCCGGCCTTGATCTGAGTCGACCCTTTGGCCTGCGGTGACGGGACCGGCGGGACCTTTGGGGGTGGACTAGGTGGGACAGGCAGGCTACTGGACGAATGTGAGGCGCCCGCGCCAGAGGCTGCGGCTGGCTCAGACTTCGGCCCTGCAGCTACAGACTTTGGCTTAGGTTCAATCCCTTTTGACATTGACTTCCCGGCGTTGGCCTTGGTGGCCTTTGCTTCTACCTGCGAACGAGGTGTCAAGATAATCGGGACATGCCCACGATCGAGCGTGGGGCGCCAAGGAGCTGTCGCTGTCGATGCACTAGCCGCAGAGGACGATCCCGGAATGGCCTTATAGGGGCAGCAGAGCGAGATCGATCGGTGCGGGGCGGCGCGGCCGACGAGGAGGCCGTCGAGCCAGAATTAAAGACTGTCCTTGGAGGGGCGACCTTAGTCTCGGCCGAACGCACGTGGCGAAGCGGCACGAAAGGGTGATCTGAGCTCCAATAGCCCCTGGGCAGTCTGTATTTCGGTTGTGGGATACCTTGCAGCAATGTGGAGTCGATCGAATACAGGAACTGCCAAAGCTCAGGTAGGATCGTTGCCCATCGGGTGATGGTACCCACTGGCAAAAGCTCTCCTTCCGCATCAGACGCCCACCTCTCAAGCGACGAAGAACATATCCAAACCACTCTGGGTACTGCTTACGGGCCACTTGTGGGGAAATGTGAGGGAGATTGAAGCGGCGGCCGAACCGCGCATAAGTGGAATCACCGAGCTGTGCGCGGATGTATTCACACGTCTGCCCATAGGAGAGGTTTTCGCGGCCTGCGACGTGCTTGGCGCCAGCACGGCACCCCCTCCTACGGGCGCGGTCTCTCTCACCTTTTCCCGCGCCAATGGCAGCGGCTTCACCGACACCCAAGTCAGCCGGTTCCGGCTCGACGCCTGCGATCCGGGCTGACTCCTCCAGCGCTGTCTCCAAGTCGTACTGCTCTTGGAATAGTTTGTTCCGCCCATTCTCCGAGTTCAAGCTGGCCTGCAGCTTCGCAGAAGCGCTTCTTGTTCTTCAGCCATCTTGTATAGCGCATCCACTCTGCACGGTGGGTGGAAGAGTTGACGACGTCCATACCCTCTCCCTTTGCATCCACTTCCATTTCTGCCTCGACCAGCTCGAGGCACTTCTTCTCTTCCTCACTCTCTCCGTCACCCTTTGTCTCTTCTGCACCCGCGCTTGGGTCAAACCGCTCAGCTTTCTTCTTCTCCCTTTCTTTTCTCCTTCTCTTTGCATCACCTCTGGATTCCTCCTTCTCACCTGATCCCTTTGACTTCTTGTCTTTTGATGATGTCCTTGTCTTCTCAACCTTCTCGCCTTCTCTCTTCTTCTTTGCGTCCTTCTCATCTCCTCTCTTCTTATTCTTCTTTGCGTGCTCTTCTCTTTTCCCACCTTCCTTCTCTGCCTTCTTTGCTTGTGCTTCCCTGCCATCTTTGTCACCTTTGTTCTTTTTCTCTTTGGGCTCCTCCTTTGCTTCCTTCTTGACATCTTCCTTCTCACGTTTACCTTTCTTTGCTTCGCTCGACTCTTCCTTCTTCTCATCACCTTTACCTTTCCTCTTCTTGGCGTCGCTCAAGTCTGCCTCCTTCTCATCTCCTTTCTTCTTGGACAGCGCGCTCGAGTCTGCTCTTTTCTTCTTGGCCTCGCTCGAGTCTGCCCCCTTCTCACCTCCTTTCTTCTTGGCCTCGCTCGAGCCTGCCTCCTTCTCACCTCCTTTCTTCTTGTCCTTTGGTGCCTCTTTTGCTGCCGTCTTGTTTTTTCCTTCACTCTTTTCTTTCTTCTTTTCCTTCTCGGACCCACTGGAGTGGTCCTCCTTGACTCCTCCCTTCTTCTTCCCACTCTCCTTCTGTGTGTCTTTCTCCTCCTTCTTCTCATTCTCTTTCTTCAGCTCCATTGAGTCCTCCTCATCCTCATCAGAAGATTCCTGGTCGTCTTCCTCTTCGTCATCAGCCTCAGCACTAGTGCTGGCTTCGTCTGAATTCTCCTCTGATTCTTCTTCATCGTCCTCATCACCGTCCTCATCTTGTTGCTCCTCGTCATTTGCTTCTTCGTCTGATCCATCTTTCTGCTCATCCTCATCCTCATCTTCTTCGTCACCGCCTTCTTCTTCATCATTCTTCTCTTCTTTCTCACCATCCTCAGCTTCGTTTGCTTCGGCCTCCAGCGCAGCAAGGTAACACCAAATTGATCCAGATCTCATCCATCTCTGAATGTCTGACATTGGGTAGATTAGTTCCCTTCGCTCCTTTTCACTGAGATGCCGGTAAGCATACCAGGCCTTCTGATCCTCATCTTCCCCAGAGCTTGACGATGAGTCATCATCAGTACTGGAAAAGTCGTCCTGCATGAGTGGAGCGCTCAAACAAACTGAACTCAAAGGAGAAACAGTTGGTCCTCTTCAGGTGCACTTTCTGATGCGGAAGATACTGATTCGCTAGCCTGCAATTGTACAATTTATTTGACTGAAATACGAAAGATATACTGAAAGCACATATATATATATATATGAAGACGGTCTCGAGACCTGGCCTCTGCATCGTTCATCGAAGATAGAATTGAATCAGCTTCCACCTCAGACATAGCCCCACTCTTCTTCTTGGCCCGTGCCTTGGATGGACCTGGATTCTCAGGCACGATCTCAGTGACAGTAGGCCTTTCCTGAAAGCTCAACTTCCGCTTCAGCTTCTGGGGCGTAGCTACACTTTTCAGGATACTTTCAACCTTCTGTGTCGCATGTTTCTCTGCTTTCTTCAGTCTCTTCGCAGGACTCTTGGTTCGATACGATGGGTCTGGTGTTTTGCCACGAACTCTGAGAGGAGGTGGTGGTACCACAGACTTTTTTTCTTGTGTCT